TTGTGAAATCTGAAGATCAGCTTGTCAAATATGTTTACCAAAGCATTAAGCCGCATTAAAGCCGCACACGTCTTACGGCGATTTATTTCAAGCTTGGATTATATGATATATATAGTCCGGCTTGAGGGGGAGTGTTAAAAGTATTAGGGTAGTATGTGTAAATTGTTAATAGTAGTAGGATAGTATGTGTAATTCTTATTATTGTAAGTTAACTATAAATACAATGATATATGAGAACTAGGTCAAGCTTTTGACCTCTCTTTGTTCCTCTTCAATATATTGTGTTAATCCTTTACACTTAACATCTTCTACTAAATCTAAAAATTGCACAGAACATTTGGAAACTTGTTGCAATCTTTCCACAACTAAATTTATATTAAAGAAATAACCATAGCAAGGATAGAGGAGATGCAGCATCCTTGAAACCGAATAGTACAAAGAAAAGGAGATCTAAAAGGGCACAATCCAGAACACCAAAAAAAAAAGAGAGAAAAAATTATGGCGGATAAAAGTGTCCTCGAATTTTCTCTAGTTAATCCTTTTTCTCTCATGAAGGAGAAAAAAACCCAAAGTTGGCAATTGATATTAATATTCTACCGTAACGGCACTTCAATTAGGTCTTTAACAAAAACCTATCTGAACATGAGGATGGAATATGCACACAGTGATACTTATGAGCATAAAGCAACTGGCTTTATGGCAGGCAGTATGCTGCGAGCCACTTAATGAGTAACAAGGAAACTGAGGAAGACACAGCAGACTCAAATCAACTCAAAAAGCCCCTATCCAGACAGAGGAAAACAAAATAGGAAAGAAAAGAGGGTGAAAAAATGGCCAACTTTTTCTGAAACTGTAAGATTATAATTGTTAAATATTACCTTGGTTGGTGAACCACCATGCAAATGTTAACTCCTTCAAGAGCTTCACGGCGGAGTGCTCTTAATAGTAATTGAGATGAAGAACTGTCCAAACCAGAAGTGGGCTCATCTAAGATCAATAGAGAAGGTTCCATAACCATTTCCAGCCCAACATTTACTCGCTTCCTCTGGCCACCAGAGATTCCTCGCTTTTCCACTGTTCCAACAAGAGAATCTCTCACAGGCTGCAATCCCAGGGCCTCAATGACTCTTTCTACAACTAGAACCTTGTCTGGTTTTGCCAGATCAGCTGGTAATCTACAAAAAGAAATGCAGAGAAATACAAAGATATTATGATCAAATCACATTTTCCTTCTTTCTTTTTTTGTTTTTTTAAATTTGTTGGAAGGGGGAATAACCATGCAAATGCAGAATACTACAGCAGGTGGAACAAGAAACTAAAAGGAGGGAAAAGCAGAAGAAGCAAGACAAACTATACTACTCTCCTTGGCCGTGTGTTTGGGATACATCACTGACATGTAAATGCAAGTTGACAAGATACACCTATGACGTCACATGGTGCTGGCTTGTTCATCAATTTCCACATTGGCTTATTCTGTTTCTTGTGGTAAGCTTAGAAGGCTTACTATCTTCTTTTAGATATGCATGAGGTAAACTTCCAAGAAAATTCTCACAAACCATAAAAACATGAAAAATTGGCATGCACTTGAAATCCATCAATACCATCATCAAGGTTTCAGCTTGTTAACCCTCTCCCCACACCAAAGAATAAAGGAAGCAGAATCCTTGGAATCAAAAGTAAACTATATGTTGGTATTGATCTTCCAAAATGTACACAAATGCATAGCTAAATGTCAAGTTGTACAGGTCGAGTCATTTTGCCCTTCCCTAAACCTTGAGCTTCAATATTTCAAAGAACTTGGTGTGTGTTAATCTCATTAACAAACTAAACTCTATGTAAGAAAGAGATTGATACATAAAAGAACATGTTGATGACATCTAGCACTCATCACCAAAATTTTCTATATATAATCATTTAGTTGGTACATGGAAATGTGTGATCCTGGAAGAAACATGAAATATTAACGGAAATCACTACCCTTTCACACAAAAGATATGCTTGTTGTGACGGAATTTAATGGCAACTGGCCTGCTTACTGGAACTACAGGTGGCATACCTGCACCTAGCACTGAACCAGAGATTCTCCTCCACTGTTAAGTTTCCATGCACTATATCATCTTGGGGAACAAACCCAATAATTTTCTTGTAAGATTGTATTGATTCAACCTTCCCATTTATAAGAATCGAACCACTCTTGGTGCACCCTGTTGCTTTTCCGGCCAAAGCAGAAAGAAATGTTGTTTTCCCTGCCCCAGATGGACCCATGACAGCAGAAACATGGCCAGGCACAATCTTCCCTGTTACACATCTCAACAGATGCTTATTTTTGCCTTTCAAAGTGAGCGTTAAATCTTTAAAAGCAACCTCAATCGGAGGCCTGTTCCTGATTTCCATATCAGCAGCCATGGAAATTACCCCAGAGAAAGTCAAATTCTTGTTCTGCTCTTGCAGAGCTTTTTCCTTCTCAATTTGACCATATGCATACTTGAAAATTTGGCTGCGAGTTTGCAATTGCTTAGCCTTTGGCATATTCTTTTTCAAATTTTTATCTCCAATCTCCAGATTGAAGCCCTCATGATTCTCAGGATCATCTGCAAGCTCACGCACCATTTTTGTAAGGTTGTTTCCTTTTGGCTGAGATGCACTCATAGGCATAGGTGGCAAGGCACCACTCATTCCAGCTTTAGATTGACCCTGCCTCACAGATTTTTTACGAGAGAACGTTCTAGATAACTGGGCCTGCAGCCCACTTGCATGCTTCCGAGCATTATCTTTTGCGGATTTCCATCTTTCACGTGCCTGAGCTGTTTCCCTAGCACTTCTCGCAGCTGCTTCCCTGGATTTTGCTTCTCTTTTCTCTCTAGTACTGAGAACTTGATCGGAACAGTTGTAAATAAAGAGAAGAAGGAGCATTAAACCACCCTAAATCGGCCAATGAAAGGTTAGTATCCTAAGGTCTACAAGATAAATATTAAATGGATCCTAAGCAGAAATTATGGAAGGCATTGTTGAGATTACGAAATTCCTTCTATGTCACAAAAGAACAAAAAATCATGTGTATAGACTCAATCTGTAAGAGCATCCAAAAGACTTAACAATTTTTCATTGATGATTTTTAGACAAGAAAACACATTCGTATATATGTGTGTGTGTGTGCTCTCGCTTTGTATATATCGTATAGGTGTGTGCATATGCGTATATACAAAGAGAGAGCACTAAAGAATTTAAGTGACTTGAGAGTTTAGATACTTTTGATATTCAATATGTCTGGAATCTATTTCTAATGGTGAAAATAAGGGTCCATGGATGCGAAGATTACCCCTCCTTTACACCTGAAAGATGATTCATCATGCCCGGTTGGGGCAGCACAACTTAAGAAAATAACTTCAGCAACATGATTTTGCATGCTGTGGTTGTTTTTTTATCATATTGCAATTGTTGGTTTATATTTAGCACAAATTAAGAAAAATAAAAGACAATACGCAGCTTACAACAAAAGGCCAGTTGGACCCAGTGATTTTAGGTTACTGAAAAAACATTATTCATAGGATAAATTATTCCACCTGTATAAGAACTTTTGGAAATCTAAGCTGCCTCCTTTACTTGACACAAAGTGTAACAAGACCACTTACAAAAATCAGGATGCCATATGCAGTGATATTCTGGTTTGCAGATTGTGGTTCACAAGTTGCCATCCAAAGGCACCCTACAAGATCATCTGTAATGGTTACATCCTTTCTAAATGACCAATACAAGTAATTAAAACCATAGAAACGTGAACAGTAGATATTGCTGTTACATGCATTGACTATTTGATCAGGCATCCTGCCTACACTCCTCAGGAAAAAACAGCTCCTGTAAGTTGTATTGACATGTTTATTCTGTTGTCAATACACAAAAGAAACAGCAATCCCACCTCTTATTTGGATTGACTATGCACTTCAGAAACAACAAAAATTGCATGGAACATCCTAATTTTGTTAGATACCCAAAGATTAAATGCAGAAAAACCCCTTATCTCATCTGACGATCCAAATGTCAAGGCTATGATGAATTGTCGTCTATGATTTTCAATTTGATCAGATGCTTTTTGCTTAAGTACCTTTGCCTCATTAAGCATGGTGAAAATACATGTCGGACAGAATTTTAGACAATAGCACCCACATTCGAACAGAGTTATGGACATTGGCACCCACATCAAAAATTTCCATTGAGGTCTAAATGTGTGGCTACCATCTGTGCCAAACTGCAATACTCATGTCTGCGTCGTCATTAATTACCTCTTCTATGGTAACATGGTTCATGTGTTGATTTCTCGTAAACAATGCTACAAAAGGAGCATCTGTAATGCCTAATGCAACAAACTCAAAAACTAAAAAGAAACTTACTTTGTTGAGATGTAGAACCAGCTCTGCAGTAATGTCTGAAATAGAAAGTACAATCAATAGTGTAAGTATACAGGGTAACCACCAAAGTGGTTTTCAACATAGTTCATGCACCAAGATGAACATTAAAAAGAAATAATTATTGCCATTGCCAATAATTGCAGCAAGAGAAATATAAGGTACTATAGACAAGTGCTACAAGTTCTGGGATAATAATTAATACCCCCTACTGCAAGGAATTTTTTCGATTGTAGTCGGACAGTATGAACCTGCTGAACAGAATACGTCACCACCACTCAAGAAATCGGCCCAAACATCTGCTCCCCCACAAGTATGGTTTGACTGCCCAGGAGGCAGCTGGTAATGATATCTGTGGATATTTTATTTCTATATTAGGTTAATCATTATTAAATGAAGGAAAAACAATTGCAGAAGAAGACTCCAACTTACGGATCACATACACCAGTAGTTTTATTGAGCTTTGCAAGGGGGCAGTAAGAGCCTAATGGGCAAGCTTCAATGATAAGATGAAGAACAAAATTATTATTAGTTTGCACCATGGCATAATAGATCTTAAATACCATATAAAATGCAACTTATTAGGAAATTATGAACAAGTAAATATCTCATTTAAAAAATAAAAAGTACATAGAATGGTGTCAAAACTGAATTGGTAGCTCATGCAGTTATCTAACAAGCTTGTTCACAACCAAGAGCTCTAAACTTAAACTATTAGAGAAGGGGCTAAACAATGAATGAAAGGCTCTTGCACCCTCTCTCATGTGCAAATTCCCTGCATGTAAGAGACAAACAAATGGAGATCCTGACAGACAACGGAGCGAGACTTGAGCCTAAAACCTGTCTTATTAAAAGCTTAAGACTATCTTTGATGACTGCTTCCCTAAAAACTATGGAATAAGGAAATGGGTTGAACAATGAATAGAAAGCTGTCTGGACATCTTGAAAACATCTGGAAGCTATTATCTCTGGAGATGAAAAAAGTTTCTCGTCATCTATTGGCAAAAAGCAAATTTCTGGTTACTGAGCAAACCCTTTGAGATTTTAAATCAGATTTCTGCTTAGACAAAGTGGTACAGGCCATAGTCTATCTGTAAAAGAATCAGATATCTTGGATGGATGGTTGATAATATGCCTCAGTTAGCTGTTGGACATATGATGGGGAAGTAATCTTCATTGCAAGTGTGCATACCACTAGGGGTGCCTCATCCATTGAAGAATTAAGTTTGTGTTAGAAACATGACAGAATGATACATGAGTTTTTCCGTAATTAGTGACAGAAGCTAACTAAACATGCATTAATACTAGAAAACATATGGCAATAGACTGCATTTAAGACAATGGTCGGGCATCCCTCCTCAAAGTTTCTAGTTGAAAAATTAAATAAATGCAAGTGTGAAAAATTTTCATGAATAATATAGCAAGCTGAACTTTAAGGGACAGATAAGAGACTTAGAAAGTCCCCTATAATTGATGCAAAACCAACTGGAGATTACTGTTTACGTGCTTATTCCATTCATAAAATAATTACAGCTGACTTAAAAGAATTCTTGAACTTAATAAAAAAGGAGCCATTAGGCCCATTACCCAGTTTGGTCTTTTCTAATTAAGGGTGATGCTAAAGTAAGGCATTATCAGCACAAAGTGGTTGTCCTCATGCTTAAACCCACAACACTACAATTGTCAACCCAAGCTTTCACCACTGCAATTTGCCCCCTCATGACTGAAATCAGTAATTGTAATTGATAATGCTGGTGATATAATCTAGTATGTGTCCAAAACCTCGCACACTTTACCATGATGCCTCATTCTCTATCATTCCCTTAGTATTCTAAAAATGCTGAGCATTATAATTCTCCAGCAGTCGCTCGAAAGTTTTACTCATCAATTAGACCATTGCATTCACAGACAATGAATCCTATTAAGAAATCAGGGGATATAAGAAAAAAATGGTTTTTACAGGGATAGCGAAAGAGACGTCACTTAAGAATTAATCGCAAGCTTTCCTAGTGTAACACAAGTTCACAACATAAAATCAATAGCATGGAAGGGAAATAAATTTTTAACTGGTATTTATGACAATGGAAGAAGAGGTATGAAGATCATAATAGAAGATAGTATGATCAACTTAGCAATAAACAGTTAAACACCATTTGGACGGGGATTTGAAAGAAGCACCAAAACTAAGATAACTAAGACATTCGTCACAGGACATACATAAAGAAGCCATTATGATTATAAAAAATTAGCACTGCTGGGTTTTGAAATACTTACGTATCATGCAGGTTATACCGTGTGGACAGAAGAAGCCTTCGCAGCAAGGCTGACAGTCAATAATTCTAGCAGGCATGTCCTTTGAATTTTTCAGGTCAACATTCTTGCCTTTACCAACACTACAAGCCCATCCTGGCTCACACCCAGAAACCCACGAGGATAAATTACAGTTCTTGTTAGGTTTCAGGTAGTTAGTAGTCTTTGAACCATCTTGTTTCTGTTCAACGAGACTAGTGACGTAGAACTTTATTTCTGCTGCTGTGCACAAACGCTGTGAAACATCTCCTACCAATCCACCAAAACCAATCGTTGAAATGTAATAGAAACCAACCATTGGATAGTATTTGATATGATTTACTAAAATCAACGGGAGAAAAGAATAACCAAAATTGAACTTTCTTTTGCAAAGTCCTACAAAATGATATCCATGATCAATAAACATGAAGATTCTGGATTGAGCTTGTGCAATGTGCCTTATGTTAGGGAAAGTAGAAAAGCTGGTGTAGGTATACATAATTTGATCATGCCAGAAAATATGAGAATTTTGTATGCTTTCCATCTTAAATCTATTGTGGTTTAGTTGCTACTTACATCTTCTAGTTTGACTTATATTTTATTGATAGTAAACATGAAAATAGAATCATTAGATCATGTTCAACTAGAATTATAAATAACTAAGGCAAGAAATATAGAAGAAAACAGGTTTTCGGACACTTGCTTTGATTCCCATCCAATAGAAAAGGAAACAGATTCAAGAAAAAAATCAATAACCACAACCAACAACACAAGCTTTTATTTAGTTCAGTACAAAGCGTATCCATCACAAAATGCCTTTGCTTTCATGTGGCATATGGGACTGATAATGGTGCCACTCATAAACTTGAAGTCTGGAGAATTTTCCACAAGTTGCTAAAACAAAAAAGAGCAAGAGGGTGTTTGGGAGAAGGTCTACCCCTCTTGGCCTTTTCTCACCTGAAGGGCTCACATGTGTACTGTTCTCTGTCTACATTAGTTGTTCTTTCCCTAAAAGGTAGTTTTACAACATATTTTGGTGCCCCCTTAAAGGACTTCTAACAAAACTAAGTAGGAAACGACTTCCATGCTAAACTTCCAACATGATATCAAGCATCTTGATGTTATGCATGACATTTGAAATCTCCCCACCTTAAGCCAAATAATATTTCTCCCAAATTCTCATTCTAAGCAACTCGTCAAACAACTAGTTGCTACATTTGTAAGGTATCTCTATTGCTTGTTTATCAAGCAATGTACACTCAAACCCCGAAGCTTCAATGCAAGGAAAATGTAGCACACCCTAAAATCAGTGAAAGCCTGTACAACCATGGACTATGGGAGGAGATTGGAGAAGGAAAAATTATTTAGCTGCCTTTGATTTCAGGTGGCATCTAGAACCGATATGTGATCATGAACTTGAAGCCTGGAGAATTCTCCACAAGTTGTTGCAATGCTGATCTTCTTTGTTCAAGAGCTTGAGGCAAACATGCCTGGGATCTAAATGGGGGATCTTTCAGATGATTTATGCAGTTTGGAATTATGCCAATATCTAAGAAGCATGGACAAGAACACACAGACACGACATTTCTGAAAAAATAAGACACAAACAGGTTGGAGACACACTACATATAATTATGAGTTATATAAAAAATAATATAATTTGTCGCCAATATAGTATCAATGATATACTATTCATGAAAAATTCAGTACTTTATGTTAAGTAAATATTATGTTTAGTCATTTAGTGTGAATTTTTAGACTAAAGCATCATAATAGTCAAATAATTATATATTTTTTTGGTAGACAATGTGTACCCAAAATATATAGGTTAAATCATTGCTCTCATTTTCTCAATTCCTCTTGTCTAAAACTTTTATGCAACTTTTACATTTATTATTATATTTTGAGTGGAACTTTAACATGTCTAGTCTTAATAATTATATGTTTTCACATAGTATAAGATACTTATTAGTAAAAATTTTAAACTTTATTAGTTAAATGTATATACATGTTTATTATTTAGTAGTAGATACGGTCTAAAGAAGTGTCGGACATGAGTCTGAAATTAAAATCTTGTCGATAAAAGAGTATTAGACACGTGTCCGAGAGTGTCCGACCTAGATACTTAACCTTCTTGGTAGTGTCCGTGGTTCATTGGCCTATATTTTGTGCAAATTAGCACAAAAACATGGTGAAATGCACCAATATTTCTCTCAACGCAAACACAAGAATACCAAACACAATGCCAACCTTTGCCTAAACCCAAGCCCGCCTTCACTTTCATGGTCGCAGTCCTAAATGATACATGTACCACTCATAAATTTTGTACTTTGACAATTCTCCATGAGCACATGCTCCTGGATTAAAAAGAGGGTGCTTCAGAAAAAGGCCAGTCACTCAAGGCCCCTGCATAACCCCAAGGACTATATGCTTTTGGCTCTCTTCCTGTGCTAGACATCCATTCCCCACAAGTGTGCATGGTTAACTAGCCACGTTCTAGAAAAGAATTTCATTACCTAATTTGGTCCCTCCCCATAGCACCAAGTTTATTACCCATCACGCCCTCGAAAAGAATCAATGCAATGAAACTGATACCAACCCCAGACACTTCATCTACATCCTCTTCTCCACATGATTGTTAGCTATTTCTTAGTATTTTCCAAATAACAACCTGCTGAGACATTCCAATTCAAAGTTTCTGGTGCCAGTTCTTATTGTCCTACTCGTCTCCCAATTCTTGGCTTGTATCATGCTTTGTTGCAAAATAAGGAAACCGAAGGCTTTCCCCACCTTAAATGCTTGGGTGGCTCACATGTAGGCCTTTCCTCGGAGTACAATTCTATGTACAGTCAATATCCACCATATCCATGAAAAAGAACTGATGATGGTGATTTTGCTACCGCTGAGAAAATTATCACGTCACCACTAGTAGACCACATGTTATTTTCCAAACAATCCTGATCATAGGAGAAGAAAAGAAAATGATAGATTAAGCTTGTTATCCAAGCTAATTAGGGAAGCTTCATTGCGCTGTTTCATCCAGTTATGAGCTGGTGTTCTTAACGGAATTATGGTGAATTGACAGTCTTTGGCTGGTTCATAAGAACAATTCCCATTACTTCAGAGCCAAAAATCGAAATTCAATGTATAGTAAAAATTTGGAATCAATGCATGCATTTAAATGGCCATGACATTGTTGTCATCTGCTAGAAAATTTATATTGATCGCTGTTTCAATCACAGGGGAGCAATTTAGCACTTTCTGATGGGTTTCTAAAAAACACCATTTTGATTTATTAATTTGAAGAGAGATCCATTTTGATATTTGTGTTGCCTTTAGGTAGGCCTAGTTCTGTTAGTGCGTTCAGGATGGCATATATCGTGGAGTCCCTGGCATTTCTGGCCAAACAAAAGGATGAGCTTCTGCACTAATGACACCAGTGGTGGCCCAGTGATTGCTTTGCGATTCTGCCCTCTGCTACGGAAGTTGGGCAGCCAACCACATTTCAATTACTTTTCTCTATGCTATCAGAACAACCACTCTCTTCATCGGACAAAATTTATTTTGTTGTTATATAAACTACAACTGAGCTCTTAACCACAAAAAATTAGTACTCCATTAGGCTTAGGTTCGAACACAGTAATGTAGATACATCTCAATGCTTTGATTAATCTCTTCGCTACAAAAAATTGCACTTCCAATTTGTTAGTTCAGATATGAAAGCAGTTAATTTGTGCAAGTAATAAAAAAACTACATATGTACACATTTCCAATCTCACTAATGAAGACTAAACTGTGAGGCACTTTTTTTGAAACAAGTTTCCCTCACAAATTTTCTCTGGATTTTCTTCAATGAAAATCACTGTGCATAAGTGGAGATCCACGTGTATATAGTGGATTTGAATTCATATCTATCGGAGATGAATATTTTTTTGTCGAGCAGGCTGGATGACATCAATTGAACTTATGAAACGAACGAATTTCGTAGTAAAATGATAGGTAACACTCCATACCTTTTGTCTTTCTGATGCAATTGGATAAAAATTCCGTGTTGGTCGAGAAATTAAACGTAGCATCCCACTCACTATCCCTGCAAAAACAACAAATCAAAACTTCACTTCGAACAACCACCCCATGAAACATCAAAACCTCACTATACATATATAAATATACGTATATCTATCACAGATACATATAGTGTAGTGAAATACTTACACGTCTTGGATACAAAAACCCAGCTCTCTGGAGATATCGTCTTTGAATATTAAGGTAAAATTACTAAACCGACTATAAAACGCCTGGGTGAAGAGATTGAGCGCGGCGGGACTAGTCGATTGAGATAAGTCCAGATCATCATCGGCGGCACAATTTACGTGCCCGAGTACACTCAATGCAATGACCGCGACAAAGATTGTGAGAGAGAGGAATTTAAGTGCATTGCTGACATTCTTCTCTACGATCATTTCGATCATCCAAAACGTTTTTTCGGATTTGTGAGATCAAGTTGAAGAACATTGATTGGAAAGAAAGAAAGAAAAAAAAGAGTTAGGGTTTGGTTGGAACGGACAGGCAATGTGGTGGTTTTTCGGAGGAAGAAATGGCGGGGAGATGAAGTAGGAGAGGAGAGAGAAGTGTATAAATATGAGTAGCTGTGCTAATGACATGTAATCAGTGGTTTTTGGACCGTTGGATTAAATTCGAAATTTGCGCGCAGTTGATGAAACAAACGGCAAACTAACGCTACTATCTGATTATTGGGTGCGGGTCGGTCCGACCCTGCAATGGGAAACAATTAGGCCATCAATGAACCGAATTTCAACCCGAATTCAAATCTGAATCCGTTTATACAGATATAGATCAGCTTTTAATTCATTAATCTGATTCAATCCAAATCAGATTAGAGTTGTCTAAACGAATTCGGATATAAATTTATAATTATTCAATTCGTTATTAATCCGACCTATATAAATATATAATAAATTAAATAGATGTTTGAACTTATGGGAGGTAATTTCACACACCTAACACACACTTTTATCCCCCAACATACACATTTCATAACACACAGCTGCACATACATACACACACTCCAACACATATTTTAATGCATGTACAATGTTATAATTTAGTGTACAGTGACTTTAGTTATGGGATATCGCTAATATATATATATATATATATATATATATATATATATATATATATATATATATATATATATTATGTAAATAAATATCAAACATATATCATATTTATACGAGAAAATAAATAAAAATTAAATAAATATCACAATGCAAAACTCATTTTCTCAAATTTTAT